TTGGAGCGTAAGCCAAACATGGCCATGCGAAGAACCCCAGTCCGATCAACGGGTGCCTGGTTCACAAGAGCCAGCTCCGTCATGTATGGTCCCGGAACTCTCCCACTGTCCCCTGTAGAGCAGAGCATTGCGCGCTTCCAGTGCGCTTCATTCTCTGGAATTCTAGGGCCATTCAGGGCTAGTCCTGGTGAGCCATGGGGCGCTCAAGGTCGCGATCGAGGCTCCCAGTGAATGACGTAGCCGGCAGGACTTGAATGTCAGTAGTGCACGTTGCCCAGAGCTGTCAGAGAATTCTTGGCCAGAATTTAGTTGGGGTTGCAGTTGAAGCAGAGGCCAGTTTGGAAAGCCAGCTCTTGTGCAGGGATCGCAGGCGCAGCCCTTCACGAAGGAGCGCTGAAAAGATGAGAGATTTCAGCTTCCGGCCTTGTAAGGGCTGCCGTGCTTAAGGAGGCGAAGCCCGACTCCACGAAGGCGGCGCAGTCCGACGCCCCGCCGACGCCGGAGCCCCACGCCTCGGCGCAGGAGCCCGGACCGCAGGCCCGACTGCAACTGGCTCCTACACAATATTCTCTGCCGTACCTATTTTTATCATTAATATCCCTGCTTTCCGAGTAAGGTTTTCCTGGTGAAACGAGAGAAGCGGAACTGCGACAAGCGATGCGCCTCCACAAAGATGTGACTCACCGACCACTCCCCTTGGATATGGACCCTTTGACAAGCATCATAGTCAGATGTCCAGGCGATCGAAAACTGAGTATCAGGAAGTTGTCTGTCGTGACCAGAGTCTAGATTCAGATATGCATGCAGCGACTGGCAGGCGCCGGTGCCTTGGCTTCAGCAAAGGCCCCGAAGCACTTTGCTGCGCACGGTAGCTGCGCGAGAGCTCCACAGGTTTCAACTTTTGTCTGATTCCGTTGCCTTGACGTTCACATGTCACACCGTCGCACCTTTGTGCACCAGAAGTTTCGATGGCATCTTGGCTGGTTGACAATGTCGCACATGTGGGAACCGGGCGCGATTCGAATAATTTCTGAAACATGTACCCCATGGCCAGTTTCGACGACGGGTAGCCGACTCCCATGCTTTGCATGTAGTCTTCAAAAGCCACCCGAAGAGCATCAGATCGTCATGTTGAAACCGGGTTTCTTCCAGATCGAAACCAAGGAGCCCCTCCCGGCGGAGGAGCCCGCCAAGGCGGCATAAGCTGAGCGTCGATGAGCGTATGAGCATATTACGCATTGGCCCTCGTATACGAGGGTTTGAGGTAGCCTGGGTCACAACGCAAGTAACGCTAGGAGGTTTCGACTGGTTCGCCCGATTCGCTGGTTTGAGCCACCTCACTTAGGTTGTGAATAACGCTCCCGAAAGCAGACCTCATCTTGTCAACTTAAGCATATGCTGTTCTGACTCTGAGTTGCAACATGCTTAGGCTATGCTTACTTGCCTTGTCACTGGTCATCCATCATGTTGTGCAACTTCTAATGACTTCCATACGTAGGTTCTCAGCGTGTCTCCTGTTTCCATCGGTCCAGCAGGCAGCTGTCTGTGGGAAACAGGGGTGCATCCGAATCTTCTCACTTTTAGGTGCTTTCCTGCTTACAGACATACATGCAGAGTCTGGCTTGTCCGAGGGATGCAAGTTCGCACAAGGCATTGCCGCAAGTTCGCTTCTGAGCTAAAGAAAAGGGACGCCCAAAGGAATTCAAAGGAATGCCCTTGGTTTGTGATGAGCCTCAACGCGACTGTCAAATACTGTCCCCAGTCTGAACCTCATTTTGCTGTTATTGAAACCGGCAGCCTCCAGGCGACGCAGCCCCTCCAGGCGGGTGGGGTTTGAGGGTGTGACATGTGCCATTCAGGATCTTGCCGCCGGGCAGGGATGACTTACCTAAACGTCCTCCTCAGATGTAGAAAGTAAGTTTTCTGAGAGCAAGCGGGACGTGGATGCTCAGCATAATTACTCGACAGTTGGCAGGAGGCGAAGCAACAAGAGGACTCCGGCCGATCTTGCATGCGGCACTGCAATCGAGATCTTTTCGGTGCTTGTTCGGTTCTAGTGTAACCATTTCCATCGTTTGTCCCCGAATCCACGACTTGGAACTGGCAAGGCATGTAGGCAGTGTCGGCCTTCCCCAGCAGGCGAAGGTCGGGCTTGAAGCTGGAGATAGGTCAACCGTTTCCCGTCCGCCCGAAGATTCGGTCCCCCCCCAGCATGTTTCTGTCCTGGTTGAGTCGCAGCACACCAGATGCCAAAGAAGAGAACATGCAGAATCAAGCTGGCTCCTGGTGCTTGATCTCTGAGACACGGGTTTGTCAAGGGCTGTTGGGGCTTCTATCGCGTGGATGACGATCGATGCGTTTGCTGTAAAAGCCATCTCAGCACTCGCAAATGTTGGAAGGGCAGGCCTGCCTCACACGAAGTATGAAGTCAAGTGCATGATTAGTTGCGTTCCATGCCAGCTTCTGGCACCTGCGACGTCGTCAGAAGGATTGCACATAGAGTCTTAGAGTACTTCCACTGACCTTGGAAGGAAGGCGAGCTCCAGCAAAAGCAAGTCCAGGCCAGTTGCATCTCTCTTGGCTTGCAGGTCCAGCTGCCGAGTGGTATTCTGTGCAACAGAGTGGAATTGAAGAGGACTAAGCTGGGCAACGGCCGAGGGTCAGAAACGGTGAGGGCAGCGTCAAATCGGGGAGGGCTCTTGTCACTTCTCGAAATGCCGGGAAGCAGGTCGCCGGCCAAGATAGAGAAGAAGAAGTCCATCGAAGAGCTCATTAAGGTAGCACGGCCTGGGCAGTTTAACTGTGCAGCATTTTCATGTTCGAGCTTGAAATTGCGCTGAGTGTCCGTGTCAAGGAAAGAAAAGAGCGGGAGAAGAACAACACTCCAGAGGACATGGCATTTCCTGAATTGCGCATTTGACTAGCAGTGCTCAGCCGGGCTGGACCGTGACCCTGACCATTTCGGGGCTACAGGCGATCGCCAAGCGAGAAGCCGAAGAGGCCGCCGAAAAAATCGCAGCGTTCAAGAAGAATGCCACCAGCTGCAATAGCCGTTCGAGTCTGTAACGGATGTTGGACTGCTGGCCTCCTGGATTCCCGAATGAAGCTATGTGTGGCTGTACACATCAGCTTTGGTAGGTATTGTAGCAACAAGAACCGTGCTTGCAGCCAAGATTGCTTTGGATGCTCAGAAGCTTCTAAAGGAGGAGGAGGTCCAGCGCTCGGCATGGTTGGTCGTTCCGAAAGTCATTCATGAAGTGTTCTGCCTAAATCGGCATGTTCGGGGCTCCGCACTACATGGAGTGTTGATTCTGAGAAGTAGACTCTAAGCCGAGTGTGTAGAAGACTGGCCTACTTCGCAAGCATCCTACTAAGAGGAGAAAAAGAAAAAGGAAGAGGAGGAAAAGGAGGCACGCACATTTCTCGGGGCACGTTTGATCAAAGTCGAGATCGGCTGGAGCAGTGCAGAAGGGTTGGCAGTCCGCACCGTTGATAAAGCCTTGCTCCCACACTGTTGATCCACTGTCCCGGGTCGATTGATGGAGTATTGTCGAGAAACTCGAAGAAGCAGGCTGCGAAGAAAAAGCAGTACTTGGACGACATTAAGGAAGCCCTGAGAGTCGTCAGTGGCTTGGCTGAGGCTCCGGTGGTGTGTCTCAGAAGCTTGCAGAGTGCACACCGTCCGTCGTATCCAGTTCCAGAGCATTTATGCCTGACCCTGTCTGCGAGGGCATGATCTTGAATCTAGCAAGGCCAAACTGCATTAATTTCGCCATTTTTGCCACTTCTCGCACTAGCATCCACCGTGTGATGCTGCTTGCTGCCATCACTCGTGCGGGCACCATGACTTCAGGTCAAGTCATCAAGTCACTTCGAGTTTTCTGGGTTCGTACAGTACCACGAAGTACACTAGTACCGTTGCCCCTCCTCCCGTTGCCTTCGTGCTGGTGTTCATGCACTTTGCCGCTAGTGTCCATGCCGTTGCGATCATTCTGATCACGTGGCGGTCAGCGCTTGCACTACTTTCTCCCCACATAATCTGGCATGATCACATGATACTGCTATGACGACTTACGTTGCAGTTCGATGGCGATGGTACATTGTGCCGGGAGTTTAGAACAATTATTTTGCGGAACCGTCATGGTAATCTTGGTCAATCTTGGTCGAAAGCAAGACTGCGAGCAATCTTGGCCATCTTGCAATCTTTGCAATCTTATCTTGGCCATCTTGCCTCACTTGCTTGTCGGCTAGTTTACCTTTTAGACCAAGATTGACCAAGCTTGCTGGCTATCTTGCCCCCCACCCCAAGTGAGGCAAGATTGCAAGATTGCCGAGGCAAACTTGCTCCAACAATTGTTCTAAATTCCAGGCACACTGGAATGGTAACATTAGCTGCATATCGTCACTGGCTGTAGTACACAAATTGAACAAATCTTTGAGGCGAGTACTAGAAATATAGCCGCACAGCCACTACTGCTATCAGTATCACCGTTTGCTGCTCGTGTCCTGATTGCTGCTGCTGCTGCTGCTGCTGCTGCTGCTGCTGCTGCTGCTTACTTTTCTGTTATTTGCTACTCTGCCGTCACGGTTACGAGAAGCAAGTCTGGCAGTGGTCCGCGATCTTCTTACTAACCGGTCTATGCAGCCGCAATTGCGGATAGTCGTGGGTGAATCTTCTCAGCCCGCAGAGACTCCCAAATGCTGAGGAAAACTTGCTACTTCACCGGAGGAGGATCCTAGTGGAGGCGCGGTTGTTGCACAGTCTTGTGTTGACAACAAGTTCCACGAAAGCTTTAGGAAGGTCAGGTCAAGCTTGGGCTTGGATGCTCGATAGACCACATGTGCTGCTTGGTTGCCCGTGCTTAGATGGCTTAGATGTTTTGTATGGTCGTATGCGTCGAAAAAGACAATCCACCTGGGGTCCTGTGTAGCAAAGGCCGACAGAACACACAAGCAGCACTGCTAACATTTGCTAGCTGCTACTTCTAGCAGGCGAGCTGATGAAAGCTGCGAAAGCGCGAGTTGCCGAATCATTAGCTGCGGCTACCAAGGCGTGCCGGCCGTCTGTCGAGAGCGAGAGAGGGTTCGCTTGGAGGTTGCGACTGGTGTAAACCTCATGTACTTACAGATTTCTTCCCGCTTAGCTGGAGCTCTGAGATGGCCTTAATGGAAGGTGCCAGTAGGAAGAAGAAGCCCTCGAGACTCTAGCCGCTTGCTTCTGTGCTTGAGCCATCTTTTCAGTAAGACCTTCGCCAGGCTGGGGTCGATCAGGAAGACATCGTGGCAGCCTCACAGGCGCCAGCTGAGGAGGACGAGGAGACAGATTCTAGGAATTCGCAGAACTGCACTACAAAATTTTGGGAGTTTTGTAGTGAAGAGCAAGTTCTCACCGAGCTACAGGTAGTTGATATTACTTCTGCTGGGTGTTCCTTGGGAACTCTTCATCTGTATCATGCAATCAACCGAAAGGGCTGTCAACGATGTCCTTATTGCTATGCGTCAGGGGGGCTTATAGTTGGCTTATGGTTTGGCCAGGAGGAGCAAGACGAGCCGGAGACTCAGAGTCACTTGTTCTGCCAGGCACACTTGAGGCACGGCATTGGGCCCTCGGCATTGGATGACACTGTTGCGTCCTGAGGAAAGAAAAGGAAAAAGAGCAAAAGAAGATAACCAAGAAGGATCTCGGGTCTGATCGATTATGCTTCCTCTGCTTCTCTATCATCCTTTTCCTGTTCTTCCTCCCCCTCCTCTTTTCCATCTCCCGCTGACCCTGATGGCAACTTCTACTGCTCAAGCTACCACTGTCACTAGTACTGCTGCTACTGCTATTGCCATTGCCACTGCTACTGACTGCTACTGTCTTCTGCTGCTGCTGCTGCTGCTGCTACAACAACAACAGCAGCAGCAGCAACAACAACAACAGCAACAGCAACAGCAACAGCAACAACCACGACGACGACGACTGGCTATTCCTTGGCAAACGTGGGCTGGCATGTGTCGGAAGCTGGGGTTCAAGATGCGTCCCACGTAATGGCTTGATCGTGCAAGGAGAAGAAGAAGATCGCCAAAGTCGCTTCTGCAGCTCGCCTTCATTTGTCTCAGGTGGGGGTTTGCCGAGGCTTGGGGCTTCGTTTTGCCTTTGCGTCGTCTGTATCGACATACCTTCTTGATATATGCGTTTTGCTCAACATTTTTGTGTGGTAGCGAGATCCGAGAGAACATCAGTGCTTAAGAAACGCGCAGCATGTCTCAGAGACGATCCCTACCTCGGCGAGATGCATCGGGTGGTCGGGGTACAGACCTAATGCTTTTATGCCGGCAAACCGGTGCCTGACATTTTGTAGTGGCTTTTTTCGTCACAGGCAGCAGTGGAGTAAAAATTGTTCGTGCCTCTGTGCTTGCACCACACGGCCCAGGTTTCGAATGTTACACCGGCATAACACAAGGACCTCTCGATTTCTTGGACGTGTTGGGCTTCACCCAGAAGCCTACCGGCCCGAGTGTCGTTAGCCATTCACCAGCAAGAGGGCAGGAATCACATGAGATTTTCTCGCTGGAGGTAGCGGCAGCTCAAGCCAAAGAGGAGGCACTGATCGGTCGGCAGCCATGAAACGTTCCGCCGATGGCTCCAAAGCTTGTTAACCCGGTGTCGTTTCCGACATAATTTTCGATATGCATCGCCTGTGTGATTCCTTGTGCCTCGGATCGTTCCTGTCTGCAGGGCAAATCGATTGCAGAAGTCGGCAAAGCTGCGACGCAGGCGGCGAAGGCCGCCAGTCTTAAAGCGCAGAGTCAGCTTTCGAGATTGCCATGTCGAGTTGATGACGTTGTTAGGCCTGGGGTGGCGATCCGCAAGACATCAAGCTTGCGGCTGCACCTCGTTCGGCAAGATTCATGTGCTCCTACTGCGCAGCAGCCTTGCTAGGATTTGCTAGGCTGGTGCCGTGCCAACGGTTGCAGCAGCTAATTAGGCAGAACGCACTTCCAAGGAAACGGCCCTCAAGATTGCGAAGGGCAGCTTGGCAAATGTTGGAGTGCACAGCTCTGAACGACCAGTTAAAGTCGCTACCACTGCGCTCGTCGGTGTGAGTCTCCGTTCCGCGCTGCCACAGGCGAAATCACCGTGGACCCCAAGAAAACTGAGGAGGAGGAGTCCTCCTCAAGCAGCTCCAGCAGCTCGAGTTCTGCCGAAGAAGAGGAGGATCCGGGCTAAAGTTTAACAAATGGCAGCAAGCATTGGTGGCTCTTGGTGTCGCCCAGGCTAGTTGAGGGTGATCGGCTAGCTTCCAGTTGCTCTGCAGGATCTTGGCGAGATGGATCGCCACAAAGCCAAGATGGACGGAATGGCAGCGATCTATTATTGGGGCATGGGCCGCTGAGGCTGAGGGCAGCCGAGCCGAAACTTGGGGGACTGCGGAATGGCCTTTGCAAGGCGTCGTGCAAAGGTGCAGATGTCACCAGCACAGATTCTTGCCTGGTAGTTTGAACATTTTCAGTCACAGGCAGGACTTGTGGAACGAAGGAAGACCTAAAGACTGTCACCGTTTCGCTCACTCTTCTGCTTCGGCTGAGAATGACAAGAGTTGCCCAGGTTCCCATTGAACAGTGCTGTGCCGAGAAGCACGGCAGCATGTCTAGCAGTCTCCTCACGTAGACAGGGGGTCAAAGAAGTCCCGGCTTCGCCAGGCAGATTAGACACAAAGACCTGCAGGTAGAGGCCGTTCTGCGAGAAGCGTCAGCAGGGGGCAAAACACCTTTCTGCCTGCACCTCACTTCTCTGGCTTCACTCGTTGATCCAAGTATATACATTGCTTCCAACCTGCACCTTGTAAGAATTCCTGAAATCTTCTTCGATTTGATTGCTGAAAGTCTCATCGCACATGCTTCTGCTTCAGGGTTTTAACGGTTGCTGCTAGTGAGAAAGACTTCGACCAAAGTGTTACTGCTGTTGGCACCAGTAGGGTTTCAATGACGACCTGTTCTTGGTTGCCTTGGTGATATCGCTTGATCCTCCTTACATTAACCCCCCGCATGATGCTTGCAGCATTTATTAAGGAGATAGCTTTGGGCGTTGGGCGAGTGCTAGCTTTGCAGCAGTAGTCATTTTTCCACCACAGTTTATTGCTACTGTGGCTACCGCTCTTCTAGTCTATGCTTTCTTGCTGGCACGGTTGCTTCTGTCATTGACTTGCACAGTGCGCCAGCATAAGCTGCGGTAATTACACACATCACATCGTAGAATCTAATCTGCGCAGATGATGTCCCAGAATTCTTCCGAATGGTCCTAATGATGGCACCAGGCGGAAGCCAAGCGCGATGCATCTCAAGGAGGCCGAAGCAACACAATCAGCCGTCCCAAGCGCATCTTTGAACATGATGTGCTGTTTCGCTGGAACGGATTTCGGGGCGCCATAGCCGTCCTATTGCGACACTCGAAGGCAGACGGCGGAGGAAGAGAAGATGCCCGGCCCTCGAAAGCTGGACCATTGTCGTCCATTGTCACTGCATTGCATGGTGCCTGGCGGAGGGAATGCCAATCAATGCTAGACTGCCGCTGGCTGCACTCGGCTTTCTGCTTGGCCTGGCTGAATGTTTGCAGGGGAATGGCTGAGGTGTTGCATCCGTCACCGACTCCGGTGACGGCTAAGGATCTGGCGGAGAGCTCCAACTGAGAGCTCCAACTGGATGTAACCTGCGCTCGGTCTCCACGGCAGAAGCGGCAAAAAGATTGCCTCACGCCGGATGCTCGTGTTGCGGCCTTTTACCTGTCATCCTCCCTGAATCGGTCGACGTACGGTCGCTTGGCCTTAGGGCCGTAGGACCCGCATCCACCTCCTTGCAGGACATACTCCAAAATCAGAGAAGTAGCTAGCTGCAGTAACTCCCGTAGAAGATTCCGCATTATGCAAAAGTCGTGCTTGACTTTTGCAACAACGAACGGAAGCGATCTCACTCAAGCAGCACCGGGCTTCATCGCCGCAGCGCTATTTTGGAGCTGTCTTCCGCGAATGCCTAAGCGCTTCTTTGGTAATGTAACATTCATCAAAACTCTCTTGGGACGCTGAGTTTCATCTCTTGGCAGTCCTCAACATCAACCTTTTCATTTGCAACAGAAGAACCGGCATTGCGGCCATGTTTCGAGGACAGCCTGCAGATCACAATTGCTGCAGAATAGGGTGAGATTAAACTGGGGTTTGGAAGGTTCCAAGCCCCACTCATTTACTTGTTCACACAAGTACGGAGCCTGCAACCACCCGCGATAAACACCATTGCAATGGTGCACCAGAGCAGCCGGTAGTGAGAGATACACAGCCATGACACCGGAAGGTGAATTCACAGACGTATGTACACAGCTACCCTTTGGCCATCGGAGTGCCTTTGTATGTATTTAGTTGCATCGCAGCGCTCGCGTGCCATGCGTTTGATGCGTCGCTGGCCGTTTGTCTGGGCCCCGATAGCATGCTTCCAGGCGAAGACAGTCAACTGAGTTTCTCCAAGCAGCTTTTCGAAGTTTCACTCCAGGCGCAACTGTTTGCGAGAATGCTTCGGGCCATGTGATGATGGAACTCGGACTCGGACGTGGCCTGAAACCGCGCCCAAGGCCCAACCGGTCAATCCAAGCAGCCCTGCCGAGCGCAAGATGCTCCCGAGACTTCGAACCCCACCTCCAGCTGGAAAACCCCCTGCAGACACCGACACACACACACACAGAGACGGAGATAGAGACACGCCGATGTGTGCGGAAGTCAACAGTTAAGGCAAGGTTCACGGATGGGGTGGGGAGGAGCAGGCAGTGCAGTCCTGCGAGGTTCCCTTCGGTGTCAGGTCAGGAGGCAGGTCAGGTGGGGATGAGTACAGTGCAGCCAGAGTCTCACACCAAGCTGAGGGGAGTGGAGATTCCTGAGGTTAAGATGGGGATGGCACCGGAGGCGACACTCACAGGTTTGCTAAAGGCTAGTTCAGTGTCAGTATACTGCCAACCGACGCCGGGCCCTTCGCTTTCAGAAGAGCGGATGGCCCGAGTGCTAAGTGCCAAGGTTTGCGAGCTGGTGTCTATAGGAGGGGTGTTCCGGGGGGGTTCCACACAGGCACTCGGGGGGACACTCTTCTTCCCTCCCCGAATAGGGGTCGGTCAGACACTCGGATGCGCACCTTGTGGGGTAGGCCTTCGGGCCAAGGGTCTTTCGATGCCCTACACCCCAAGCAAGCAAGCAAGCGAGCAAGCAAGCACACACACCGACAGACAGACATACAGACATGCAGACGCACAGACACAGAGACACACACACACACACAACAAAAAAAAATCATAACAAGCACTTACTTGCTTGCTTGCTTGAATACTTACTTACTTACTTACTTACTTACTTACTTACTTACTTACTTACTTACTTACTTACTTACTTACTTACTTACTGACTTACTGACTTACTGACNNCTTACTTACTTACTTCCTTACTTCCTTACTTACTTACTTACTTACTTACTTACTTACTTACTTACTTACTTACTTACTTACTTATTTGCTTACTTACTTACACTTACACTTACACACACACACACACACGCACGCACACATACTTCCATACTTCCACCCCCCCAACGCCAACTTTACATTTCCCCAGCCTCTGCACACAAACCCCGGCGATTGCTTGATTGATTCCTTCTGCAGTATCGTAGTGTTCAATCCCAGGCTCGAGGTCGCACTGAACCCACCTGGCGAAGAAAGTGCAACCCCAATTCGAACAGGAACTGAACTACCCAGCAGATTTCGACTTCCCACCCGAAAATAGTGTATTGGCTGATTCCTTTCCTTCGCATCCGATCTCCAACTCGGACTTACGCCCTGCCACTCCCCCCACCCCCCACCTGTGCTGGCCCCTGCGTTGAAACTGAAAGGTACCGGCCCGCGACCAGTTGTCTTAGTGGTCCAGAACTGTGTCTCGATGCAGCTTCCTGCCAGATTCAGTCCGTCTCTCAGATGCACGAAGGTCTCCTTTCTGGCCGGGGCCGCTGTCCTGGCGGGCCGCGCGCTGGTGGAATCCTCAGACTCAGCCAACATCACCAAGCTGAGTGGTGTCAGTCAACCTGATGATGATTGACATGCGCGCTTCATCACCTCGCTCTTCCGGGCTTCCTATGCTATTGGGCTCATGTTTCTTGTTGATCCTTGCTGTTTGGTCCCGAGGCCGCGCATGACCAGCTGGATGCAGATGTTATTATCATCGGGGCAGGCTGAAAGTCCGCCATTCTGATACATGATCTTGTTGCCTGTCAGTCGTGGCGGCTGAATTGACCTATGTGTATGCATGTATGTACGTACATGCGCAGGTTGGTGGGTATGCATGTATGATCATGTATGTATGCATGCATCATGTGTTTGTGCATCTGCCTGTACATGCAGGCACGTATGCATGTAAGTAACAATATGTGTGTATGAAGGATGTGTGTATGTGTTTGTGTATTCATCTACGTATGCCTGTATGTCTGTACGACTTGATGTCTGTCTGCATGTCTGCATGTATGTGGGTCTGTGTGTATGTGTGTACGTATGCGTGTATGCACAGGTGTATTTACTCGTGCGGGTATGTGTGCATCTGCTTAGGTAGGCAGGCGGTAGGCAGGCAGGTAGGTACGTAGGTAGGCAGGTAGATATGTATGTATGCATGTATGTAAGTATGCATGTATGCATAGGTGTATCTGCGTGTTATGTGCGCATGTGTATGCATGCATGACCGTATTTGCGCGTGCACGTGAGTATGTATGAATGTATGTATAGTAAACGTTACTTGCATCAAGAGTTTTTGTCGTTCCTGTTGTGCACATGAATGCATGCATATATGTACGTATAGGCATGGGTATGTGTATAAGGGTATGCGAATACATATGTATGGAGGCAAGTGAGGAAGTGCGACGGTATAGCGGGTGAGATCGGGAGTACGTTTGACGGAATGCGCGCCCGTGCTGTTCGAGCATCACGGCTCCTTTGCTGTTGCGCACTTTTTATATGGATCATGATGATCAGATAAGAGCATGGGTGACGGTTCCAGTCGTAAACAAATACAGTTGTTCACAGACAGAAGCACCAAACAGGAATAATTGGTTCCGCAAAAGCAAAACTCAATAGGGAATGATGGGCTCGTACAGGCAGTGGGTGGCACACCCCGTGGTGATTAGGAACACAAAGCTCGACAGACAGCCGGTTGTTATCATTACTACTACTACTACTACTGCTGCTGCTACTACTACTACTACTACTACTACTACTGTACTACTACTACTACTACTACTACTACTGCTACTACTGCTGCCACTTGCATGTACATTGTATGTCATTGCATGCATGCATGCATGCTTGCATGCTTGCGCGTGCATGTCTGTGTATATGTACGTGTGTGTTTGCATGTGTTTGTGATGTATGCAAATGATGTTGGTCAACCTTACTCAAGGAAGCAACAGAGTCTGTCACCAGAGTTGCCAACGAGTAGTTCGTGCCGTTGAAGGTCAAGCAGGGATGGCAGCAGCATACCAGCTCCGGAAGAGAGGACACGCCCTGTTTTGATTTTTGAAAGACTGCTTCGAATCGAAATGTCCCGAGGATTGACTGTTCGAGTTCTAGAGGCCACCGATCATGCACCTTGCCAGCGACATTTAACAGCAATTGGCGGAATAGCCCGGATTGTCGTAGTTGCCTGGCTTGCGCTCTTAGTATAGGTGCACAATAGGTATAGTAGAAAGGAAGTCGCAGCTTTCTGCGGTTGGCTAAACCACCCTAAACCCTCCCTGCGTCGCAGGTTCGTCCTAGCAAGTCGGAAGGCAAAAGCCTAAAGCCCTGAACTGCCGACTTCGCACCATGAACCTCGCCTGGCTAGTCCGAGTTGTGAGAGCGTAAAGCCCTGAACTGTAAGCGGTGGTCAACATCACATCGAATCCTCTTCTCCAACAAGGTTTGGACAAGCCATGCCAAAAGCAATACCCCCCCTCTCGCAAAAAAAGGATGCAAACTGCAAACTTCAAGGTTGGCGGGCGCACGCGCAACATTGACGTGGCAACAGGCGGGAGACAGGCAGACACAGACTTGTTCAATATCAAATGCAGTAAATGACGCAATCAACAGGACATGGAAACCAAGAAGCAGAAACAGATATTTTAGACCGCTGGATAGAAATGAGTTCCAGTCATCCTTCGGTCAAGTGATATTCAAAAAACAAACCGCTGTCGAACAAAATAAGGCTTTCGACCCGCCGGCATCTTGCGAAATTTGCGAAAGCCATCGTGACCTGCTGGGACTGGAACTGGAACATTCTGCAGCTGCATGTGCATATTTGCATGTGCACATGGGTGTTGGGGGGCACGCAAATCATGCAGTCCGTGCTGCTGCAGTAGCATTGGTATGGTCCTTTCCTTACGACGTGTCTTGAGAACAGCTGCGCATTTTGGGGAGCTGCCGTCGCCCAAGCAACTGGCCCACACTGCTGAGGCCAAGCTAAGCCGCCCAACTGGTGAACCAAACCATATTAAACTGCTAGAAGTGCGCTGGTCCAATCTGACGAGAAGCTCATTGAAGTGTTGTTGTTAGATCCCTGAGTCGCTACAGATCGCGCCAGTTCGCAAGAATGGTTTGTGGATGTTTGCTAGTAGATCCGAGCTGCTCACATGTGATATCTGACATTTGCAACGGTGAACAAGACGAGGGAGATCGGAGGAGACGAGGATCGGGATGTGGATTTGGAGATGCAGAAGAAGAGAGGGTCGAGAGGGCTGCATTGCAGTGGACTGCATGTGCCTGCGTCGGCTGATCAGGGAAGATGGATGTGGAGACAGATGATGTGATTGAAGTTGGTGGTACCTGGTTAAGTCCCGCGCACTCTGCGGCATTGGAGCTTTGCCGCGAGCATTTTGGCATGCAGAAGTGTAGATAGAAGGGCAAAGCTTTGAAAACAGATGACAACTAGTGCGGCTGGTGGTGCATTGTCCTCGTATTACACTCCTGCTCGCGCCATCATCCGTGCATTCATCACTTGTCTGACACTGCATCGTGTTTTTTTCTTTTCCTGCCATTTGCTCAATCGAACTCAGCTCAGGCTGGGGATCGAGGTGTACAACGCTAGCTTCGTCCCTGACCTCGAAGTGGCATCCGGTCCCAAGGCTCGTTTCCAGTGCAGGCGTTGAATGGTGCGGAGCTGCATTTGACGGCGTTGTTCGGTAGCATGAGCTCCGTTCATTTTTCCATCCCCATCCTTTAGCTTTTCTGAGTCTGGCATGCTATTTTTGACCCAGGTTTTGTTGGTTGCCCGGGTGACATGCCTTTAAAGACACCTGCGACTCCTGTCGCATCCGTATTTGCATAGACAACAATGGGATTTGTGCGGATCAGATCTCGGTCTTTGGGCCTCTTGTCCCCGTTCAGAGAAGCCTGCTTACCTAGAGTCTAGAGGGCAATAGAGCAAAGTGGCAAAAGCTTCAGAAACTCCCCCTTGTGGGGTGGCAATCTTTGCTTTATCCGTCTGTTTCTTGTGAACTAGTCACAGGCTTACATGCTCATTGGATCGACCCTTTGTTGCGTTCAGGAAGAGATGCCATGGTGGTATTGGGGGTCAGACTACCCCACCGAACAGAGGCATCGGCTCAAAAGGCGGCAGCAGCGCCTTTCAGAGTCATGTTTCCTCTTGGCTGCAAGAGAAAACTTGCCCTGTCAGATCTTTGTTTGCGTTCTGCGTCAGGTCGATTGTCCATACTTCTACTGGCCGACACTTCTACACCACAGCGAGCGATCTCCAGGTTGGCATGTATCCTGGAATGCCGTTCACATGCCGAACATCAGAATAATGATAAGACCCCGGTGCCTCGCACGAAACTTCAAGCAACAAGGGCCCATACTGTTCAAAGCAAGGCTGTCATTGGGACTCAAATTTGACCGGGATCACATGCGGTGTGGGTCATGACAGACAGCTTTTCAATGCTGCTTGGGAATGTCGAGGCCGCTTTCCCATCTCAGTCAGCGGCTTCCTTGAAGAGGGTTGGAGTCGCATGGCTGTGTTACGATGAAGGCTGAGCACTGTGTTGCACATCTCGGATTCGAACATTGTGGCTGCTCAGGAGTTCATTGATGGAAGAGCAGCAGGAATCAGCGACAGGCCATGGGAGCACGTCTCCTGCACTGCGCGGTGCTCGTAGCCTTTTCAGGTGGAATCTTGGAGGATAGTTCATGTCATGTCTGGTTCTGAGAAGCTGCAGGTGCTGGCTTGCCAGTGGAATGTCGCTTGGTGACTTTAGAAGTTCGATCCAAGAGCGTTGTAAGTGTGTTCCGGTAGTCTGTCCATCGTCGACTGATGCGTTCCGCACCCCCCAGCCCCCCATTTCCGTCTGATGGCTGTGGCACGTGCCTTCCCACCATCACCAGGTCTCGTGCATGGAGGGAAGCAGATGCTGACACCACCTGGGGTGCTCTGGGTGGGAAGCTGGAGGGCAAGGCCTGCTGTGTGCAGTGTGCGTGCAGGGTTCAAATCAGGGCATCAGGTGCAAGTGCAGGCATTGCAGACCCCTTCTCGCAAAGCTTGTTGCTTGCACACGGGAACACAGAAGTGCATCCTCGGGCTTCGACAATCCAGCCTTCTCTATCCTGGTCAGAATGTTGCTTTCGAGGCAACCGAGTTCTGACATTTGGAGCATGTTGGAAAAACAGAAGCAGCGGCCGTTGGTCATGGCGATCGATTGCAGCAGTTGGCCATGCTGCCCAGGATGCCGAGCAAGTGCTGAGAAACTGTGCCGTGTCAGCATTGCTGGTTCTGCTAGCAATGTGTGTCCTCTTTTGAGTCCTCATGTCGGGAACAGCCTTCACCTTGCACGGTTTCGACAAAGGCTTGAGGACAGTTTTGACAGCCATCCGCTGCTGTAAATTCCAAGGCATCCACGGGAAGAATGCCCAGGAGCCAGAAGCAGTGTCATTCTTGTACAACCTGCTCTCCTTCAAAGGCTCGGTGAAATCAGGTACATCGGTGAGAGTCAGATAGGCCTCTAGCCGGACTGTCGACGCTTGCTGCTTGCTGACTAGGTGTAAATGCATTTTTCAAACGGAGACACAGAGAAAAGAACAGCACTGACACAAACAGCTGATGGGCAGTCGCCAATGGTAGTGGTGATTATGTGGTGATTAGTGGTGATGGTGCCGGCGGTGGACCTGGCAGTGGTTGTCGAAGTCGAAGAGGTGGTGGTTAATAACATTTTCGGATATCATTGTTCCACAACCTTGCACCCAATGCAAGCAAACGGCATCCTTCACGAGTTTATAATATGCAAATGGTAAACGAAGATTCAGTGTTTTTCCAACTCCTAATGTGCAGCAGTAGGGGCAGCAGCAGTAGTAGTAGTAGTAGCAGCAGCAGCAGCAGCAGCAGCAGCAGTGGTGGTAGTTGTTGTTGTTCTTGCTGCTCTTATCGCAGTCGTCGTCGTCGTGGTGGTGGTTGTAGTAGTAGTAGTAGTAGTAGGAGTAGGAGTAGGAGTAGCCGTGGTGGTTGTAGCGGGAGTAGTAGCAGTAGCCGTTGTGGTGGTGGTAGTAGTAGTAGTAGCAGCAGCAGCAGTGGCAGCAGCAGCAGCAGCATTAGCTAGCAGCAGCAGTAGCAGTAGCAGCGGAAAAAGCGCAAGATGAGCAGCAGTCGTCGTGCTCGTCACTACAGCAGCGCAGTAGCGGTACTTCATCCCCAGCCGGTGCATCAGGGTACCGCAACAACGCAGTCTAAAAGAAATCAATAGAGGCTGAGAACAAGTCTGAACTATCTATCGGGATGGAAGCGTAGGAGATGAAGTCTGGTGCCAGCGCATGCTCCCCACTCCACAGTTCCGTGCGTCGGTATTGGCTCCATGAATCACGAACGAAAAGTTTCGGGCCAAGCTTGGCCAAAGTAAAAGCAACCAAGCACGAAGCTCACACGGGTCATTGCCATAGAAACCAGAACAGTATCACTAGGAGCCATCAGAAAAAACACGCACGAACAACAACTCCAACAGGATCCCTAAAGATCCGCCACGACATACAGTGAACATAACAATCACAATAGCAACCAGGAAGCTGAAAGGCTTCGGCCTAGGTTGTTTTTTTTTTGAGGGGTTTAGGGTTCCGGCTTGAAGGGCTTAAGGTATGTTGAGAAGTCCCAAAAAGACTCTACACCCTGGGCACCAGCCGCATCCCCAATCTCGGATTCGTGGAGGTGTAAATTGTGACGAGGGGGTGTGAGACTTTCTGTGCATGAGACGATGAAGATCCTGTGTGGTTCTGAGTTACGACTGTTCCATCGACAGTAGATCGAAGTGGCACAGGGCTTTTTCATACCTCTACCGAACTTCGAAGTGACACAGGATTTTCATACTTATACCGAATAGGTAGCAAAACGATGCTGTACTTCACCATCAGAGACTTCTGTCAGAAACTCTCTGGCGCGGCGGAGCCATTTCGCAAGTGGTTCATGGTATCATACAGTATCGTATAGTATAGTATGGTCTAGTATAATAGTGTACAGTGCGAGTACGGTATGGTATAGCATACTATATTACAGTACTGTATAGTGTTTTATAGTAAGTGTCATCAAGAAGCTTCAGCCATCTGGAAGAAACCAGGGCAAGCAATTGAAACTTCTGCAGTCATTCGTACCATCCGGCGAGGGCAACATCCAAGATTAACCCAGGGAGCACTATCACGGATCCATGATGCTTAAGATTCGAACTGTGCAACAGAACATGTTCGTAAACTTCCTGCCAACACCCATGACTAGGTGCCCTGGTTCTTATGGCTTTCCGCGACTTTTCGAAAGTGCTATCACCACAGCAAATGATGTTTATGCTGCCATTGGCTTTTGAAACTGGCACTGCCACTACTTCCCGTATCCACGAAGAAACAAATGACCGCCGGTCGTCTAATCACGCCAGGTACGGTTAGATACTCTATGCCAACATGGCTTCGCTCGGTGAAACACTACCTGCAAAGGGACACAATGATTCTCTGAACTGGCTCCGATAAGGGGGCTTGGTCATAGTTTACCTCGTGACTCAACCTGCAGCTGTGTAGGAGACGATTACACTGACTACTCCAGAGGTCAAGTATCCTGCAGAACCATTCCAGAAGCTTGCGCACATCATCCTGCATGTTGACATGCATGCACTCCTGAACCTGCTGCGGTATGCTACCTGCTATAGTGTGGCACCACACTGTTCTTCCGGGACACCATACTCCCGAGTTCTGTCCTAATCCCCTGAAGATTCTTGGTGAGGCAATAGTGTCGTGACTTGTCCCACAGCTGCCCTTCCAAGAGTCTGCACAAATGGTGATGCCCCCACAATCCTTCAGAATCTCGTTGGTCCTCTTTGTCGCTAACTCTGTGCAAGAGATTGACAAAGCCGCACGATGGGGGTCAGTCCGTGTCGAGGCGTTCCAGCTTTCCATACTAGTGCTGCCCCTGAAACCTTGTGTTGGTAGGGTTACGCTCATCCATGTCTTCCCACCTCAGCATCTGACTGTGTCCTTACATGCACCGGAGACTATGAGGGTATGACTTTCAACGCGCCGGCTTTGGCTGAAGAAAGGCGCTAGAAGCCGAAACTTCGTAGCCCGTGAGCCGCTGATCACCTGAACATCAGCTGCGAAAGCTGTAAGTGTATCTTTCCTCAGCTGCTCCGTAGCCGGGAACGCAGGATTGCGTGGAGAGTTGCATCTTCTTGCGAGGTGCTTTTGAACTCTAAGGCTCGAACGCCCATGGTCTAACTCAAGCCGCATTAGCCCAAACTCAAAGCAGAAGCGTGCTTTGCAATCGAGTGGCCAGATTCGAAGTGGCATCCCTGCAACTTTTTGTAGATTTCCTGAGGCTGGCAGGCAGGGTACCAGGTAGCCCCTAAACCCTAAATCCTAAACCCAATAAAAGAATGCGAACTTCAGGGTTCTCCCCGGGAGAAGCACGAGATGGGGAGAAAGGGACCTAGGGCCTCAGCCCAAAGCTCCTTCCTGGCCGTAGGTTTTTAACTCAGGGTCCCTCTTTTTAGGGCTCCTTAAAGGATCTACTACACGGGTTTCTATAAGGGTTCTACATGGGTGGTGTTCTAAATTGGGGTCCCTTGTAGGATCCTTTTTTATAAGGGTGGCGTACTNNCGTACTTTATTTGGGACCTAAAAAGGGCTCCTAACCCAGAGAACTACCCACATAGCACACATCACAAGATGAGATCTAGCCACATCACCTTCACACGTCACTGAACTCTGCTACTGCATCCTAAAGGCAATGCAAAATCATTAGGTTTTCCAACCGTCGCATGCTGAGAAGGATAGAAAGAATTAGCCTCTTGAGCTGTCCATGTCGTGTGTGATGGCTAGTCCATTTCTCCGCAGCAAGCTGTGGCCAACACCTGAGCCTCAAAT